CTCAGCAATGCTCTAGAATGGGGTTAATGACAGGAAACTAGTGGGAATCAAAATCAAGAGAAAGAGTCCAATGATCTCACATCTCTTCTTTGCTGATGACTCCTTGTTCTTCCTTGAGGCTAGTGATTGGGGTTTTGGGGAATTGCTGAGGATTTTGCAAATTTACTGTACGACGTCGGGCCAGTGTGCCAACTACCAGAAATCTGGAATCATCTTCTCTAGTAACACAATCGAGGAGCAAAAGGTCACTTTATGCCACCGTTTGGGTATGCAGTATCTCCCCCACTGTGCAAAATATTTGGAAATCCCTATGGCATGGGGAAGATCAAAAAATGAGGTGTTTGGATATCTCCTTGAGAGGGTCGTGAAGCGCTTACAAGGATGGAGAAATTGCTGTCTGTCACAGGCTGGGAAGGAAACTCTGATCAAAGTTGTTGTCCAGGCTATTCCCAACTACGCCATGTCTGTTGTGGAATTTCTCGTAAGTTTTTGTGCAAAGCTTAATTCATATGTTATGAACTTTTGGTGGAAAAGAAGTGTTGAGAGTAGAGGTATTTGCTGGAGGAAGTGGGAGAAGATGACTGAATCTAAATCCGTTGGGGGGATGGGTTTTAAAGATTTCGAGTTGTTTAATCAAACCCTTTTGGCTAAACAATGTTGGAGACTTTTAAATCAACCAAATTCATATTGGGCAAAATTTATGAAGGCAATTTATTTTCCAAACGAGGATCTGATGAAAGCAAAACGTGGTGCCCATCCATCTTGGGTTTGGACCAACTCGCTCTATGGCAGGGAACTTCTCGATAAAGGGCTATTGTGGCAAATCGGTGATGGGTTGGAGGTTTGTTTTTGGAATGATAAGTGGATTCCCCAGCTCCCCAATATGACTATTCAATCCCCAAGGCCCCAGGTTTGTTCTATCTCAAAGGTTGCTGATGCTATTTCTGTTTTCCCCAAGTGTTGGAACATTGCATGTATGGAAAACTTATTATCAAGGGATGAGCTGAAGGCCTTCAGGTCAATCCCCTTGCCACTGATCGGGAGGAAAGATAGAAGAATTTGATGGCCTACAAGCAAAGGCAGTTACACAGTCAGGTCTGGGTATGTTATGGGTTGCAAGGAGGTCTCTGCTCAGCCGGTGGCAAGCTCTTCGTTCTCTCCTCATCCTAAATTATGGTAGTCCATCTGGAATATGAAGGCAGCCCCCAAAGTCAAGCATTTTTTGGTGGAAAGCCTACCACAATACTCTGGCCACTAAAGAGAATTTGTTCAAAAAAAAATGTTCTGCATCGCCTTCCTATCTGATTTGTAATTTTGCTACAGAGTCCACTGAGCATGTTTTGTTTGAATGTTGCGGGACTAGATGTGTCTGGTTTGGAATGGATCTTGTTTTGATGGAGAAAAACTCATCCTTTTTGTCAGTTGCCCAACGTTCCACGACCTTGCTTTTTGTGGATACTGATACACAACGATGTCTTGAACTCTTGAGGAAAATGGCCTTAGTAGGTTGGATTATATGGAAAGCTCAAAATCAATTTGTCTTCAATAAGGAAGAGGTGAATGGTTTTGCTACTGTGTTACGTGCTAAGGCTATGTGGGCTGACCAGTTCATTCTAGACAGAAAGGAAATGTCTGCATGTGTTCAAGAATTAGGAAGGAGAGAGGATATCACTCAAGAGGAGGATCATGCTCCCCAAGTCTTCTGTGATGGTGCCTTCACATCCGAATTGGCTAAAGCTTCTTGTGGAGTTGTTCTTTGCAAAAGGAATGGTGTTCTGGACTTCGACAGCTCCAAAATCTTCCCTGCTTCTTTTTCTCTGGTGGTTGAGGCGGAGGCAGTAAGGCAGGCATGTTTGCTTGCTGAAGCTCAGTTGATTTATCAGGTCACGATTGTTAATGAATGCCTTAATATTATTAGTTTAAGCTCAAATGAGGATGTTTTCCCATGAAAAATTAGTGTAATTATGGAGGATATTAGATTTTTGGCTAGATCATTTACCTTAGTTTTTTACACAAGTCTAGGGCCCTTAACAAGGCTGTTCACTGGGTGACGGCCAACAAACTAAACAATTCACTTCCAACGGATTGGTTAGGGTCTCCTCTTCCCGAGCTTAAGGCTTATCTTGCGATTGACTGTCACCTCAACTTTCCTACTTAATGATATTGTTATTTTGCTGGTTTTGAACAAAAAAAAAAACTAGAAAGTTGGTGGTTAATTAAGTAATTCAATGGCCATATAAGTATAGTTTGTCTAATGATTGAATTGCATAATGGTGGATTATATAATAATATTCAACCAAAACCAAATATATACAAGTTCTAAGCCACAAGGTTCACAAAGTAGCTCATTGCAACTCTACACCTCACTTTTATTGGTTGTATCGGGTGCACAAAACTTCCGCCAATAATCGAATAAAATAACAAGTGATAGTATGTCATCATTAACGCATATCACGAATGAATAATAAGATAATAACTAGGAGTTACAAATATGTGGTAGATAATCTTCTCCCATTTTAAAGAGACTTCATTCACTCATGTTTATCATCTCTACGTTCACTCGTACCTGTTAAAAATTCTTGTCGTTTGAAAAACTGGAGAAACTAGTCGCAAGAGTTATCGCAGACCCACATTGGAAGGAGTGTTGTGCACTTGGCCCTTTTTTTTTTGTATCTAAGAGTTCTTCCTATAGATACACACACTAGGGGTAACTTATGCTATAAAGTACGGTGCAATGTGAGTAGTTTTGAGAGGGATGTTGATAACCGTTAGATAAGTCTATTTAAGATCGTCGGATAAACTTATTGAAATTTGTCATGCTCACAGTAGATGAAAGTCATACCAACTCTAGCTAAGCCCAGATTTTGAAGAAACATATGTAAATAAGGCCAAAAACAATGGGGACATTCCATCAACACAAACAATTGGCTTTTGAAAAATGGATTTCGTGAGTAAATGAAGGCGTGTGAAGGAAAGATATAAGGACTTATAGATAGGAGGCATATCCTACACTCAGCCATCGGGAAATCACCATAAATATTGAACCATTGCATTCAAAATAACACGACACGCTTGTTTTTCATAATGTGGATGCATGAGGACTTCATACAATAACTCATTTGGATACTTCAACATATTTTTTAGTTAAAAAAAAAAACTTGTTTTTAAAAAAAAAATTGCAAAAAATTGGTTCCCCAAACTCGGTCTTATGCACTATACTACACTCTTACATTGAATCGAATTTGAATAACATAATAACAGTCATTTTCAACTAAGAGCAATGGTAAAAGTTTACAATTGACATAAACATGTAAATTACATTGAAAAGCAAAAAGTATGCATGAAGATTTTATATGATAATGACATCCTACCAAGCTTGCTTTTTTTGAAGTTTTTATTACAGCTCACCAAATCCAGATAGTTTGAAGTCCCTATTATTTTCCCCTTTTGTTTTTTTCGAAACAAAGACGTTATTTGCATATTTTGTAGGGTAACTTGAGCGGGTCATTATGAACTTCAATAATTTTACTAATTGGTTTGTAGTTAATCAAGAAATCTCAACCTGATTTATATCGAGCTGTGTTTGAGTTGGAATTTTAATCAAATTTGAATTAGGGAATCCAGTTTCAATCTCAAATTAATGCAATCGAACCCAAATTTTAATTCAAGTTGAGTAACCCCGACACTTAAGCCCAAATTCAACTCGATTTCTATTCAAATTAAACTTCGAGCTATATATCTCAAAAATCAAACTTGAATGAAATTTTAGTTAAAGTTTGCAAATGTCGAGTTGTTCAAATGAAAAAGATTTAATGGATATTACCTTAAGATTTAAAGTTTGATTCTCACATGCCTGGATTGTTTTATGTCTAAAATCCGTACGTTGTTATCCAAGTTTACCTGTAATTTATAAAGTTCCCATAAGTAAAAAAAAAAAAACGAGGAAGCATAACAAAATATGAGGGACTAATTTTCATTATCAAAAAATATTTTTTTTGGGTTATTATACATTTTATGCTATCTAACTTGCACGAGTTCGTGACTAAAAGAAGATGAAGACCCATGTTTTTGTACTCAATCATTTTCATTGGACTGAATAAGCAATTTATAGATAGTCCTCAATCCTCACCAAGTTAATCTTATTGTCAACTTGGTTAATATCATTTTCACAAGAAATCTCACTCTCTCTCTCTCTCTCACAAACACACACACACACACACTCACTCACTCTTAGATTGGACATTGTAGCAGTCGAAATACATAGAGAAACAAGTAGTGGACGGCAGTTCAACTTCTCACCCACGGAATACACTCAAAACTGTCAACATTCACCAGAACAAACTACTTATAACCAATACACGTAGGTTAATGGATGGATTAAGTTAAATGTCAAATAAATTTTTTTTCTCATTTGTATGAATTCGAATTCAAATCCATCATATTATATTTTTGAATTAAGATCACTAAATAAAATTGAATTCCTTGAAATTTGACTCAACAGAGTTATAGGAATCATATCAAAATGATAATAAGATTAACTTGACGTGACCATGAGGGTCTTCTATTATAGAATATTCCATTTGAAACATAGTTACTAACTTGAAAGAACAGTGTCACTAGATTACTACCAAAGTTAAGCAATAAATCATATCACTTCCATGAATTGAACACTACTCGAAAACTACATAAAAGTTAAATAAGACTCTAAACAGATACTACTTATGCTGTAATATACCACTAGCGCACGTGTTATCACAATTGATAGAAAATGTACAAGGTGATATAAGAATTTGTCAAATTTAAGTATTTAACATTGTACATCTAATAAACCCTAACCCAGAAAAGCATTTTACCGCTGGCATCGTTCTCTGCTCTCTCTTTCTCTACTTGCTATATAAATGCAGTTTCAAGCTGACTCTAACCACATAAGCAACACTAATCTCTGCTGCCGGAAGTGATCAGTGGCGAGTGACCTTCCAATTTTGTGTCCAAGATAAACCATGGAGCTCCAAGATCTCACCATGAAGCCCAAACCTCAGGCGCCACCGATGTCCGATGGGCTCTTACAGCAACTCGGCGACTCCGTCGGCATCAACAACTCTCCTGCACACCAAGTTCTCGAACTCAATGATGCAGTCTCTAAACCCACGTCATACCCTTTCATTCTTTCCTTCAAGAACCTCACATATAGCGTCAAAACACGCCGAAAAATGTCACTTCCGACGTGTTTCAGGAGGACCACAACGCCTAAACCACTGGAAGGTATGACTGAAAATTAGGTGACTCACACGAAGGTGTTATTAAATGACATCTCCGGCGAAGTGAGAGAAGGTGAGATCATGGCCGTTCTCGGGGCTAGTGGCTCCGGAAAATCAACCTTGATCGACGCAGTTGCTCATCGGATATCCAGAGAGAGCTTAAAGGGAACAATTACTCTAAACGGTGAAGTTTTGGATTCTAAACTTCTTAAAATTATATCAGCTTATGTTATGCAAGACGACCTGTTATTTTCGATGTTGATGGTTGAAGAGACGCTCATGTTCTCGGTGGAGTTTAGGCTACCACGTACTCTCTCAAAGTCGAAGAAGAAAGCAAGAGTTCAAGCATTGATCGATCAGTTAGGCCTGGAAAGCACTGCTAAGATGGTGATCGAAGATGAAGGCCATAGAGGAGTCTCCGGCGACGAAAGACGTCGAGTTTTCATCGGAATTGACATTATTCATGATCCGATCGTTCTGTTCCTTGATGAACCCACGTCGGGACTTGACTCTACCAGTGCCTACATGGTGGTGAAGGTCTTACAGAGGATTGCTCAAACTGGAAGCATTGTGATCCTGTCAATACATCAACCAAGTTATAGACTTCTGAGCTCGACAGTTTGATCTTTCTTTCACGAGGACAAACGGTGTACATTGGCTCTCCGGATGGTCTTCCGCAGTTCTTTTCTGAGTTTGGACATCCAGTTCCAGAAAACGAGGATCGAACTGAGTTTGCTCTTGATTTTATCCGAGAGCTCGAAGGCACTCCTAGTGGAACCAAAAATTTGGTTGATTTCAACAAATCATGGGAAATGAACAATTCAGAAAATGGATCAAAAGATTCAAAATTGTCTCTCAAAGACGCCATAAGTGGAAGCATTTCTCGAGGAAAGCTAGTCTCTGGAGCAACAAACATAGTAGAAGCCAACCTCCCATCTTCTGTTCCAAGGTTTGCGAACCCTTTTTGGATTGAAATGATAGTGATCGGGAAACGATCATTACTAAACTCATGGAAGTCGCCGGAGCTCTTCGGTATCTGAGTAGGCGCTGTGTTGATCACCGGAATAATCTTAGCCACCATGTTTTGGAGGCTCGATAATACCCCAAAAGACATTCAAGAAAGATTAGGGTTCTTTGCCTTTACTGTCTCAACCACATTCTACACTTGCGCCGAAGCCATTCCAGTCTTTCTTCAAGAACATTACATCTTCATGAGAGAGACAGCTTACAATGCTTATCGCCGTTCGTCGTACATTCTCTCTCACTCCATTATCTCCATTCCTTCTCTTCTATTCCTCTCATTGGCATTTGCAGCAACCACCTTCTGGGCGGTTGGTCTCGCTGGTGGACTTTTTGGGTTTTTCTTCTTTTTCTTCTTCATCTTCGCGTCATTCTTCACCAGAAACTCCTTCGTCACCTTCCTTTCCAATGTTGCCTCTCATGTGATGTTGGGTTACACAGTCATCGTCGCCATTTTATCCTACTTCGTCCTCTTCAGCGGCTTCTTCATCACCAGAGATCTAATCCCTCCTTATTGGCTTTGGTTCCACTATGCTTCTCTGGTGAAGTATCCATACCAAGGGTTGTTACAAAACGTGTTTGATGACCCAACAAACTGCTTCATTAAGGGGATTCAGGTGTTTGATAATACGTCATTAGTGATTGTTCCCAATTTTTTGAAGCTTAAACTATTAAAGACGATGAGCAATACCTTGGGCATGAACATTACTAGCTCCACATGCTTGACTACTGGAGTGGATATTCTGAAGCAAACTGGAGGGAGTGAGATAAGCAAATGGAATTGCTTGTGGATCACTTTTGCTTTGGGGTTTTTCCTGAGAATTATGTTTTACTTTGCTTTGTTGTTTGGAAGCATAAACAAGAGGACATGAGAGACCAATATTACTTGAACTCGTAATAATTTGTTGATCTAATTAATTTGCTTTCAAGTTGGTGTCTAATTAGCAGTTTGGTGGGAGTTGGATTTTGATACAAGTTGTAAAATGTAACTCCACCTGACCCAGCTAATGGGTGAGATGAAGGTTGAAGTTTTTTTTTTATTGATGAATTTGGGGTACATTATGTACGTTTGATATAGCAGAGGTTAGGTGATGCAAGTTATAAGCCTGATATGATGTGTGCAAGAATAAAAGGATTCTATGTTCTATATTTATCACTTGATATGTGCATAAAATATATAGAATGAATAGATCATTTTGGAAACCGGTATACAACAAAAGAATAAATTAATATAACAAGATTGTAGGAAACTTATTGCTACATTATAGTGGTTGTATTATGGAGAATTCTGGAGAATATCAAATCCCTTAATTGTAGTTTTCAAATCCCTTGTTGTAATCATCACTTAAAAGTCCCCCCGCAAACTGATGAGTAGGGACACATCATCAGTTTGTCACGAAGAGTGAGAAAATGAGTAGTGGTGAGACCCTTTGTGAAGATGTCGACTATTTGATAATCGGTACGAATGAATTGCACTCAAAGAGTGCCATTGGCAACTAGCTCTTGAACAAAGTGGTAGTCAATCTCAATATGTTTTGTATGCGCATGAAAGATTGGGTTGACACAATGTAAATGGCACTAACATTATCACAATGGAGATCACTAGGTGTGTCAAGAGAAATATGCAGTTCACAAAGAAGGTATCGAAGCCAAACAATTTCAGTAGTGGCACAAGAAAGAGCACGGTATTCAGCTTTAGCACTAGATCTAGCAATTGTAGGTTGTTTCTTACAAGATCAAGACACAATATTAGATCCAAGAAAGATGCAGAATCTAGTAGTGGACCTACGAAAATCAGGACATCCAGCCCAGTCGGCATCTGAATATGCATGAATTGTAAGGGAAGAGTGAGAGTGGAAATGAAGACCCAAATCAATTGTGCCTTTAATGTAGCAAAGAATGTGTTTCACAGTAGTCAGATGCACCGTTGTAGGAGAATGCATAAATTGGCATGATTGATTGACAACATAAGTAATATCACGACGGGTCATGGTAAAATACTGAAGAGCACCCACAATTTGACAGTAAAATGAGGGATCTGACAAGGGATCACCTTCGTGTAAAGAGAGCTTTGATGTAGATGTGGCAGGAGTAGGGTAGGGTTTGGCTTCTAGCATGTTGGCACATGATAATATGGAAAGTGCATACTTAGATTGTAAGAGATGAAGACCTTTAGAAGTACGTTTAGCTTCAATTCCCAAGAAATAATGAAGTTCCCCTATGTCTTTTATTGCAAATTGAGAACTAAGAGTCTTAATGAAGGACTAAAGAAGTGAAGAAGCACTACCAGTTAAGATGATATCATCAAATGAATGAAGCACAAACATCGAGGAATTTGCACGACTATAAACAAATCCATGTTGATAAAGAATTCCACTAAAACATTGAAACCAAGCATGTGGAGCTTGCTTAAGGCCATAAATAGCCTTGTGAAGACAACAAACATGTGTCGGATGAGAAGAATCATGGAAGCCGGGTAGCTGCTCCATATAAACTTCCTCAGAGAGCACACCATGGAGAAAAACATTCTTTACATCTAGTTGCCGAATAGACCAAGCGCGAGAGAGAGCCAGAGAGAACACAGTGCAAACAATAGCCAGTTTCACCATTGGACTGAATATTTCTATGAAGTTAATACCTTCTTGTTGATTATAGCCTTTGGCAACTATACGTGTCTTGTATCGTTCTATAGATCTATCAGATTTTTCTTTAATTTATAAACCCATTTGGAGCCTACTATGTTCATAGAGCTATGACGAGGAACAAGAGACCATGTGCTATTAGCGATAAGAGCATTAAATTCATCTTGCATGGCAACACACCGTTTTTGATTTTAGACACCTCGCAGTACGTAGAAGATTCAATACGATTAGAAGATGGTAATGAAGCAAGCAAAGCTGCTGGGAGAGGATGTTTGATGAACAAGTACGAATGATGTTTAGTTTTAACAATACCATCTTTATGTCTTGTGACCATCGGTGAAAGGAACTAGGTGAAGGAGGTTGTATAGAAGATGTTGCTGGCATAACAGAGTTATCAATTGGCAAAGAGATGACAACTGGGTCATTCTCAGCCAGATCATGAGAAGGTGTTGTAGTAGATGAGGCATCTTGAGATGTAGGAGGCGAGAAATCCTATAAACCTCCACATTTTTATCGTCATATAGTAACGTAATTATTATTTTTTAAATGCTAATATATGTAATTATGTATGGATGAACTATGTATATTGTAAGAGTAGAAACAAAAATGTTAGTGGAGGTAATAGGATATGTTGTAGAAAGTTGAAAGTATTCCAGAGTAAAATCGCACTTTAGAGATGGTTTTAGGTAAGAAGGATTTTTGACACTGTCCTAGTGTTTGAATCATAAATTTTTATTTTGATATCCATGTGATCTGAAAGTTTGACAGTAGACTCTATACTTCCAGTGCTATAAAAGAGTATCTCACAAAAATTTTCCACATCGACCTCTAAATGGGTCAAAACTTAGCTGGAAGTTTCAGCAAAAACTGGGATGACGTTCGAACATGAATTGACGTTCAAACGACCGTGAGTCCCAGTATTTTGGTCTCTACAGAGCTCTGATGAAAATACAAAAGTATTGGGAGCAACCAACGTTCGAATGCCAAAATGACGTTCGAACGTAAATCAATAATTTACACTATTGACGTTCAAACGCCAAATGACGTTCGAACGTGACTTACGAATCTGGGTTTCAAAATCGCGTACAAGAGACCATTTCTTCCACTATAAATACTTAAGGACACCTTCAATAGCCCCATTTCAACATTTATAACCCTAGAGAGGCTTAGAGAGGAAGAGATAAAGGGAAAAACACAAGATCAGGAGGGATTTGTACATTGAAGAGGATCAAAGCTTCCAATTTTTCAAGAACACCAAGGAAGAAGAAAGGTAGGGGTTCCTTCTACTCTTGTCTATTGAGGCTAGGACATATATATATATATATGTTTTCACTCTCAATCCTACATATATGCTATTAAATCATTATTTCTTGATGCTCTTGTAAAGATTAACATGTTTTGATGGAAGCTATGAGTGAATAGCCATGAAATCTTTTCTTCTTGTCTTGAAAGCCCTAGTTTTCAAGAAAAATAGATTTTTCTCTCAATATTCCTTTGTTATTGATTTCCTAACTCTAGTGATTGGTATTGAACAATAAAATGGTATTGTTGATGATCTCTTACTTATTTTCTCAAATTGTTCTATTGGAATCATACATGCGAAATTTGAGAATTTTTAGATTTTGCTTGTGATTTGAGGAATTGGGTTGTATTGTATCTCTTGTAGATGTTTGGATGACCATGGGTGGCCGTTGACCGGGTATTGTAGAGTGGTGTAGATGCGTTTCTTACTCCGTGTGGGTTTGAAGGTTCCCTACTACTCGTAGTGGGGTTGTTGTCTTGCGATAACCAAACCACTATTCGCTCATGTGTTATCGAGGCTGAATGTTAGTATACTATTCCTAGGTTGGATCGTCCCTGTCAATGCGTTAGTATACGCCCTTCCTAAAGATTGGATATCCTTACGAGGATTGAGTGTGTGTGTGTGGGTCAGGATATTCTCGATGTGTTTATTCATGCGATGTCATACATCATGCCTGAGATACATATATACATAATGTTGTGAAAGATATAAGTTGTGGCTTGATATACATTGTGGGTAATGGTACAAATTGTGGGTTATTATTTAAACTTGTTGGAGATGGTTTATGGTTGGAAATGACTTATAGTTGGGAATCGGTTTTATTTCTTTATTTAATTTATTGATATTGCTGAAACTTGAGATCGAATAAACTGTCACTGTTTTCTCTCAAAAGTTATATATGATATTTGTAAAATGAGACCGACTTATTTTATATGTTTTCAAAATCTTGTTCAAGTTTGAGAGGATTTTCTTACAGAGCTTAGTGCTCACCCCCTACAAACAATACTTATTTTCAAATTTCGGTTTAGAGGAAGAGTCCCGAGTTGACGAGTAGGTGATTTGGGAAGCTCAAGTTGATGGATATATGGATCCGAAGGGGGATGTTTACAATTGTTCTTTTTATGTTCTGGACTAGGAAATTTAATTTGAAATGATGTTCATGTTCATATTTTCCTTATTCGACTGCGACATAACAATTTGGCTTATTCTTTTGGACAAAATTGTCATAGTTTGGGTATATTCTTTTGGATGTAATGGTCATGGTTTGACATATTCTTTTGGATAATGTTGTAGATATTATGGATGATGAATGAAATTTTATTTATTTATGGATTTTATTAGTTGCTTTCATAGTGTGAATGACTTTAAATAGTAATGTCGTCCAAGGGAGAATTTGGGGCGTTACAAATCCGTTGGAGTGGATGTGGATGTATGTCAAGACAATGAAGTAGTTGTCCTGTTAGAGGCAGGCAAATTCAATGGAGATGTTATTAGCAATGAAACCCATTCATTTTGAGACTCTGAGGTGGGCAGAACAGGGCCTATATCTTCAAAGGGGAAACTAGATTCATCAAAGACAACATGGCGAGAAATATAAACTTGTCTTGTAATTATATCCTAGTCGCGATAGCCGTTGTGATGATCACTATATCCCAAAAATGCACAACAAATTGACTTGGGGCTTGGCTTTTCTTTCTTCTAAGGTCCCATGTATGGATAACAAGCACATCCAAATGTGCGAAGAATACTGTAGTATGGTGTTGTATAAAACAGATCTTCAACTTCATGCGAAGATCACAAATTCAACACTGGCGTTGGTAGGCGGTTAAGAAGAAAGACTACAGTGTTGAAAGCTTCTAACCAAAACTGTTTAGGCATAGAACAATGATATAACAAAAATAAACCCATCTCAGTTATTTGTTGATGC